TCCAAATCTCCAAATCTCCAAATCTCCAAATCTCCAAATCTCCAAATCTCCAAATCTCCAAATCTCCAAATCTCCAAATCTCCAAATCTCCAAATCTCCAAATCTCCAAATCTCCAAATCTCCAAATCTCCAAATCTCCAAATCTCCAAATCTCCAAATCTCCAAATCTCCAAATCTCCAAATCTCCAAATCTCCAAATCTCCAAATCTCCAAATTCCCAAACCTCCAAACCCCCAAACCTCCAAATCCCAAAATTCTAAAATTTCCACCCCTCCATCGACCTCCAAATACACATTAACGAAACTAAAATGATTCGCTTTCCATCGTCTCTTTCCGGCTTCAAAGATAAATCACGAAACAGAGAAATCCCAGTAAAAGAGGAATCGGTCGGGCTATCAAGGGACCATTCTAAAAGCTGCTCGGTCAACGCTGTAATTTCAATGAAATCTCCAATCTGTTAGAGACGTCTCTGTGTCAGGAGTACGTGCATGACAAGACAGAAACTGGCCTAGGTATTCATCGCTGCTAAATTAATCACCGTGCCAGCCAAGTGTATCAGACTCCTCGAAATAACGTTTTCAGTCGTCCCAACTAACCTCGACCTTTCGAACGGTCCACGAGCCGTGTCACTAGATACAAAGTTCAATGCTAGAATTGGTTGTTGCGTTTCTGATACCGCGACAAACCTTCAATGCATACGTTTGTTTCAAAGAGAGGAAATATTTCTGAAATTGTGTGGCGTCAAACGGGATCAATATTTTTATTGCTGTGTCGGGGAACTGGATTTTTCTATTCATACTTGATAAAATTGACGAATATTGTAGCAGTACTGTTGAATATAAAGGTACTGTTGAATATGTGAAGGGTTCTATGTCATAAGTTTAATGGTTTTCATATGTAACAAATTATGATGGGATAAATGAGATGAGGTTTAGGTTAGGTACAGATCGAATAGCAAGTCTTGTTATTCTTCTATTAATTATTAAAATATGAGAATAAAATTTGGACAAAAATGTGACCTAAGGAGGTTTGACGTAACGAAACCTATTTTTATCTACTTTATACAAAGTCTGACAATTTCACCCCTTTCTTAACTTCATAAAATTTAATACTAATTTAAGACACAGAGTACAGAATTTTCTATGAAATTATGTACTTAAAATGTCTATAAATTATGTTCGATGTAGAGTGCTCGTCTGCATGCATTACGCATGTTAAAGCTACATATTTTAATGCACAGCCTTGAAGCACCTTATTGCATTTCATCCATGCTCTCTTATAAACACTGATACTCTGCTTCATTTTTCAAAAATCACGAGAAATACGATCTCGAGAAGAAAGCATTTTCCAAGACCATCTCACCCCTTTTCCTCTCTCGTATGTTTTCGTATCAGCAGCGTGGAAGACCTTCAGATTCACATGTTACACGATTCACCTCATACATATCTCGCGTATGATCAACATACGTTCTATGCATCGAATACGTACAAACGGTGTGCACTATTCAAAATGGCAAAGCAAAATCGAGATACTGGAACGAGCCCGTATCGTCGCGTAACCACGCGATTGATAACAACCAGTACGCTAAACCTCGTTTGATTAAACTCGAACCACCAATTCAGTTTCTCCGTCGAAGCACGTTGTCGAACTAGAATATGCTGATTCTCCTGGTCGAACCCCATGCCTGATTTCTATATCGATCCTACGGTGTTTCCAAGTTCAAAAATTTTTAGATTTCACTGTCACAAGATTCTAAGATACTGAAATTCGTCTTATGGATACAAATCTTAAAATTCAGGTTTAAAAAATTGGACTCAAAGCTTTAAAGTTTTGTAATTTCCTGAATAGGGAGCTAATTTATGAACTTCTGAAACTCTAAATGTCAATCTATGTAAATTTCTAAAATAATAAATATCAACTTTTCTAATTTTCTAAAACATCAAATCTCAACTTGTGCAAATTACTAGAACCCTACACTGCAACATCCTCGAAATTCTATTATAACAAATATCAATTTATTAACATTTTTGATATTACATATTTTAACTTCCCTAAAATGAAACTCACATCTCAACATCCTCAAATTTCTAATATAACAAATCTCAATTTATCAACATTTTTAGTATTCCACATTTTAACTTCCCTAAGTTTATGAAAGTCACATCTCAACCTTCATGAGTGTCTAAAACCTCAAATCTGAACCTCGATAAATTTTTGGAACCCCAAATCTGAACATCTTCAAACTTATAACACTCCAGGACTGAATCACCCCAAATTTTTAAAATCCCAAATCTCAACTTGTTGAAATTTCTAATGTACCGAATCTCAACTTCTCGAATTTACTAATATCCCAAAATTCAACTTCCTGAAATTTCTGTAACGTCAAATTTCAAGCTCCATAAATTCCTGAAACCCCACATCTGAACCTTCCTAAATCTCAAGCTCCCCAAATTCCTAGAACACCAAATCTCAATTTTCCCAAATTTCTAATATCCCAAATCTGAACTTTTCCAAATTTCTAATATCCCAAATCTGAACTTCCCCAAATTTCTAGTAACCCAAGTATCAAGCTCCCCAAATCTGGACCTTCCAAAATGTCTAATATCCCAAATCTGAACCTCCCCAAATTTCTAGTAACCCAAGTATCAAGCTCCCCAAATCTGGACCTCCCAAAATTTCTAATATCCCAAATCTGAACTTCCCCAAATTTCTAGTAACCCAAGTATCAAGCTCCCCAAATCTGGACCTCCCAAAATTTCTAATACCCTAAATCTGAACCTCCCCAATAACAAAATTTCCAACACCATAATTTCCAAAATCGAATTTCTCCAAATTAAGAGCCCAAACTCCCCAACTTCCAATCCACAAAAAAGACCTGCAAAGTCCTAAAAATCGGTCTAAACCCAGCCTTCCATAATCCCGTTCTTCGGTCGTATGAAAATCGTCGACACAGCCAGCGTCGAAAAAATAGAATGGAATTTTACTTGCAAACCACGGTCCCATTGTTCAAAACACCTTCGTCTGTTTCGATCTCGAGCGTGAACATCCCTGCATCAATTCCGAGTGAATCCGTCATCAGCGTCGGTGTGTCGCGTTACATGTACACGCTGCATATTTTCGCACATCCGAACACTTATGCGGTGCGAAACGTGTCGATAGGTCAATCGTTCTAATTTCGGTCCCGTCAGTGACCTACATACATGCGGTCGACCGTATATTCGTGCCTCGTAAAAGTTTCACGAATCAATCGAGAAATTGTCCTCGCTGAAACATCCACGATTTTTATAGTGGACGTATTTATTCTTTTAAACAGCACCGCAACGCCGTTTTTCGCCGCCGCGCTAATTTGCTCAACGACTGTTGTAAACGGCGCGAATGGAGACACGAAGCACGGATCGATACATAAAATGCTATAAATTAATCGCGACGATACTCGAACCTGTCTTCCGATATTAACGGAAAAAATATGGACGCTCGATCGAGTGGTGCTTAAAATCAAGCACCTAAACATTCGCAAATAAATGGTTGTTAACCTCGACATTTTGTTTCGCCAACGAAATTAAAACTTTGATTACAAGTTTTAATATTATATATTTTTATCAACGCAGAAGAATACTGTAATTCTACGTTCAGCCTAATTCAACATAAACTTTGATTAAAAGTTTCAATATTATATATTGTACGTTTTTATCAATTCAGAAGAATACTGTAATTCTAC